AAAGAGTGTAGACAAAAGAGTCCTGGGACTTCCCTTGTGGCGCAGTGTTTAAGAATCTACCCGCCAATGCAGGGGACACAGTTTCGATCCCTACTCCGGGAAGATCCCACATGCCGCGGAGTAAGTAAGCCTGTGTGCCACAACTACTGAGCCTGCGCTCTGGAGCCCGCGAGCCACAACTACTGAGCCCACGTGCCACAACTACTGAAGCCCATGCTCTGCAACAAGAGAAGCCACCGCAATGAGAAGCCCGCGCACCGCAACGAAGGGTAGACCCCACTCGCTGCAACTGGAGAAAGCCCGCGTGCAGCAACGAAGACCCAACACAGCCAAAAATAAATAAATTTATTTAAAAGAAAAAAGAGTCCCAAGGACAAAACGCTGGGGATGGCCAGCTAAATGAGTGGACAGAGAACGGTGAACCGTTGAAGAGAGAGGTGAAGTGTGGCCAGGAAGAGAACCAGAGGCCATGGGAGGAGGGGTTTCTGAGAAGTAAGGGTGCACACGAATGCCAGCTGCTCCGGAAAAGTCACTTATTTCAGTTTCAGGCAACACACAGCATGGAGTCGCAGGTCTGTACCGTTCACTGTTTTCCTGCATAACTGGCCGTTAGCCAGGAACAAGAGAAGACAAATGGTCTGCTGAGGCTCCCCAGGGGGCTGTGACTGCCTGGTGTTTCAACAAACTGTTGAGGTAGGGGTGGAGACAGTTAGAAGGGAAAAGAAAGGAGAAGACGATGTAGGTACATGGGTAGGAAGCAGGGCTAGCATGAACCGTGGAGGGTGCAGGAAGGGAGGTGTCCGAGCTGAGTGTGGCGGCAGCCGAGTGGCCACAGGCTCCTTGGGGCCAGAGGTGATCAGGCGTCCTTAGGAAATGGACACTGACAGCTGAAGAAGACAGTGTCTATGACAGCTCTCAGGGAGGAGCAAAGCTGGTACTGATGGAGTCTAGGACGTCACGGTGTCTGTGGATGCTTGGTGGCTGGAGAGTGAGGTTGAAGGTTTGTTTCTGCAGATTCTTAGAGACGGGAGGTCCCTTTCAGCTCTAAAATTCTGTTTCCAGTTGGAGGAAAAAGACGAGGAACAATCTAGAGAGTCTGAACACAATGGAGCCAGTGGTCCACAGTAGAAGAGGGACAGTGGCCGGGTGGGGAAGTGAACCCGGCTGGAGCACCATGGGCGAGAGGGAGCCACGTGTGAGGTGCGCGTGGAGGGTCTGCTATGAGCTGTGAGGACGGGATGAGAGTAGTAAGAGCCACTGGGCACTGATAATCCCCACACCAACCGTGGCAGTAAATCCTACCTTCTCACTATTCGTACTGGGAAGCATCAGCCTGGATGGGCGAATTCATGCCGAGCAATAAATAACCCCCAAATCCTAATGACTGCAAACAACATGGTGATGCCACGTGTGACCTGGGCTGGTGGGGACTGTGCTCCTCACTCAGGGACCAGACGACTCTTGTC